TCACGATCTTGCGGTCCGTGAGTTTGAGCCCCGCGTCGGGCTCTGGGCTGATGGCTCAGAGCCTGGAGCCTGTTTCTGATTCTGTGTCTCCCTCTCTCTCTGCCCCTCCCCCGTTCATGCTCTGTCTCTCTCTGTCCCAAAAAAATAAATAAACGTTAAAAAACAATAATCAAATGTTAAAATAGCCCAGTACTGAAATGAACAAAGTGTATGAACAGATAAATCACCAATGGATAAATTAAGTGATCAACAAATTTTGTATTGCTAATAAAAAAGGGAAAAGATTCCTTTTCTCTCCCATCAAATTGGCCAACATGGGGGTTTAAAAAAAAAAAAAAAGAAAGTATCCTCTGACTCATCAAGGGTAAAGTGAAATAAGCATTCCTTTTTTAAAATTGAGATAGGATACATATATCATGAAATTCATCCTTTTCAAGTTCAGTGGATTTTAATATATTCACAAGGTTGTGCAACCATCAACACAGTCTAATTCTGGAACATTTTTTTATCATCACAAAAAGAAATGTCATACCCATTAACAGTCACTTCCATCACCCCTCCCCTGACAACCATTATTTTCTGTCTCTGTGGATTTGCCTGTGCTGAATATCTCATATAAATGGAATCATACAATATGTGGTGTTTTATGTCTGGCTCCTTTTACTTAGCATAATAGTTTCAAGGTCCATCCATGTTGCAGCATGTGTCAGTACTTTATTCCTTTTTATGGACAAATATTCTATTGCATGGATAATACTACACTTTATCTGTTGATGTACATTTGGGCTGTTTCCACTTTTTTTGTCTATTATGAATAATGTGGCTATGCAAGTTTTGTGTTTATGCATGTGTTTTTAATTTTAATAACTAGGAGTAGAATGCTGGGTTACATAGCAACTCAGTGTTTTAACTTCTCTAGGAACTGCCAGACTATTTTCCAAAGTGGCTATACCATTTTATAGTCCCACCAATATATGAGGATTTTAATTCCTCCACATCCTTGAAACACTTGTTACAGTTTACTTTTTGATTATAACCATCATAATGGGTGTGAAGTGGTAACTCCTTATGGTTTTGATTTGCATTTTTCTAATGACTTACTATGTTAACCAATCTTATGTGTTTATTATTATTTGTTTAGCTTCTTTGGAGGAATGTTTATCAAGTTCTTTGCCCATTTAAAAATTAGATTGTCTCTTTATAGTTGCATTATAAGTGCACTTTATATAGTCTGGATACTAGACCCTTGCACACAGTTTCTCTCATTCTGTGGGTTGTCTTTTTACTATCTTAATAATACCCTTTTATGCACAAAAGTTGTTAATTTTGATGAAGCTCAATTTATTTTCTCTTTTGTTGCCTGTGCCTTTGATGTCATATATAAAAATCCTTTGCCAAATCCAAGGTCATATAGATTTACCTTTATGTTCTCTTCTAAGAATTTTATGGTTTTAGCTCTTATATTTAGATTACTAACTTATTTTGATTGATTGATGTAGGAAGGGGTCCAACTTAGCTTTTTTTTTTCCCCCTCAGCATGTGGAAATGCATTGTCTGAACACCATTTGTCAGATTATTCTTTCCCCATTGAATGGACTTGGACACTCTTGTCAAAAATCAATTGGCCATAGAATGGGTTTGCAGACTCTCAGTTCTATTCTGTTGGTCTAGATGTCTATCCTTATGTCAGTACCACACTGTTTTGATTACTGGAACTTTTAGTAAGTTTTGAAATCAGAAGTGTAAGTCCTTTGATTTTGTTCTTTTTCAAGATTGTTTTGATTATCCTGGACTCCTGTAAATTCCATATGAATTTGAGGATCAGCTTTTCCATTTCTGCAAAAAAGCCTGTAAGAATTTGTTAGGAATTATGCCAGATCTGTAGATAACTTTGGGTACCTTAAAATTAAGTCATCCTATCGGTAATGAAGAGATGCCTTTCCATTTGTTGGTTTTCTTCCAGCAATGATTTGTAGTTTTCAGCGTACAAGTCTTTCACCTCCTTGGTTAAATGTATTCCTAAATTTTATTCGTATGACGCTATTGTAAACGGGACTTGTTGTAATTGTCAGATTGTTCATTGCTAGTATATCTTATACCCTGAAATTGCTGAATTTGCTTTTTAGTATGTGTGTGTGTGTGTGTGCGTGTGTGTGTTATACACACACACATATATATAAACACACACATACAAACACATATGCATAATATAAAATATATATAATATATAACAATTATGTCATCTGTTAATAAATGGTTTTACTTTTTCCCTTCCAATATGGATGCTTATTTTATTTTATTTTTTAATTTATTTTATTTTTTTCTTGCCTAATTGATCAGGCTACAATTTCCAGTATAATGTTGAGTAGCTGCAGTGAAAATAGTATCCTTGTCTTGTTCCTGATCTTCAGGGGAAAACTTTTAGGACTCTACCATTGAATATGATGTTGACTGAGTTTTTCATAATTGTACTTTATCAGATTGAGAAATTTCATTTCTGTTCCTAGTTTTCTGAGTGGTTTTCTTTTTTTTTTTTTTTTTAAGTCATGAGAAGGTGTTGGATTTTGTAAAATGCTTTTTGTTTTTACTTATTTTTATTTTTTTAAGTAGGCTTCACACCCAGCGTGTGGAGCCCAACACAGGGCTTGAACTCATGACCCTGAGATCAAGACCTGAGCTAAGAACAAGAGTCAGATGCTTAACCAACTGAGCTACCCAGGCGCCCCAGGTGTCCCGGTAAAACACTTTCTCTATGTCAGTTGTGGTCATGTGGTTTTTCCCCTTATTCTATTCATGTGTGGTGTGTATATTGATTTTGTACTGTTGAACTACTTCCTGAGAGAAATCCCACTTGGTCATGGTGTATAATCCTTGTATAGGCTGTTGGATTCGGTTTGCTATTTTTGTTGAGGAGTTTTGCATCTACCAACTACCCAAACTATTGAAGGCTACTGAAGTAAGTCCTTGTGGCTTTAGATCTAATGGTTCTCTATAGGCCTTATATAGTTGACACTGCTGGCCATCCATTCCTTTGATATTTGTTACTGTTGAGTCCTTTCTCCCTGAAATACTCTTTCTTGGTTTCTGAGGCAGTACTCCCTCCTGGGTTTTCTCTCATTTCTATATACTTCTCCATCCCATTGGAGGTTTTTCTTCTGATCATCCTTTAAGTATTAGTATTTTTTAAGAATCCTTCAGAAGATCTGAGTGACCTCATCCATACCCAAACTTCAGTGATCCTGTTTATATCAGCAACTCCCAAGCTAATTAGGACTTATCTGAAGAGTCAAGATAAGGGCACTCCTCTGAGCTACTTTTGGAGCCACCTCCTGAACAACTCCTCTGGAATGTTCCACAGTTCAGTACCGCCAGAACTCACAGGTCTTTCATGTTTGGGCCTCTGCTTACCTTTGTAGAGACTAACAAAGCTGTTCAAAGACATTTCAATCTTAAGGGAAGAGGTATGACTTTCAGTTCATTTCCCTGGAATCCCATAATCCAGTTATGCTGATTTCTAGCTCTTTTGCTCCAGGACATTCTTTAGCTTTTTCCTTGTGTCTTTGTTGCCCCATTTGTAAAGTGGGGATGATAATACTTGGTTTGAGGATTAATGATTATGTAAAGATATTGACCCGTATTAAGTTCCAAATAAACTACAGCTATTTAGTAATAGACAGACTTGAGGGGATAATGTACAAGGTAATAGAAAATAGTACTAAATTGTCTTGTTTCTGCTGACACTGATCTATGCTTTTATCTGGTTTTATGCTGGGAGGGGACTTGAGCAGCAGATACCAGATGACCAACACTGGAGCCTTGCTCTAATAATCTTACTGGGTCCAATCTCAGGATTTATTGCTATAACAAGATCTTTTTATTGTGTTCATAATGAAGCCAGTTTTGGTTATTACACTTGTATGTGTGTTTTTATACTCAGCGCTTGCCTTGAGGTGAGCATCCACTGATTTTCATTTAAATATTTGTGGTTTTCTTTTTCCTTTCGTTGTTTTTAACGTTTATTTTTGAGAGAGAGAGAGAGACTTTGAGCGGGCGCACACACAAGCTCAAGCAGGGGAGGGGGAGAGAAAGAGGATCCAAAGTGGGCTCTGAAATCTTTCAATTAAGATCAAAGGAATTTACGTTTGCATAAGCATTGTAATGGGAAATTTATTGTTTTTAAGGCTCCCTTTAAAAACTTGGTACCTATTTTGGGGCGCCTGGGTGGCGCAATCGGTTAAGCGTCCGACTTCAGCCAGGTCACGATCTCGCGCTCCGTGAGCTCGAGCCCCGCGTCAGGCTCTGGGCTGATGGCTCAGAGCCTGGAGCCTGTTTCCGATTCTGTGTCTCCCTCTCTCTCTGCCCCTCCCCCGTTCATGCTCTGTCTCTCTCTGTCCCAAAATAAAAAATAAAAAAAAAACAAAAAAAAAAGTTGAAAAAAAATTAAAAAAAAAAAACTTGGTACCTATTTTATATCACTTCTTTGCTAAATTCATTTTTAAATGATTTAATCACTTGGATTTTATTTCACTTTCGCATTATCTTTTTCTCCTAGTCCTTTAACGTAAGAAAATGGTACTCTGACGTTGGGTGCAATTAATTATTGTATTCAATGTTTAGTAACTTCACTCGTAAATTGTAAATGGGAGAAGGGTACACATATTTTCTATGTTGTAGCTCGCCACGTATGCTTTGACATAGGGAATGCCTTTGGACAGCGGTTCCGCCTCGAACCCGTCGGCGTTTAACGAGTTAACTACGGGGCGGCTTCCACGCACGGCGGGGAGGACCGGGCCAGGCGGTCAGCCCCGGAGCCGACCTGCCCCTGGAAGTGCCGGGAACCGCGCCTCCAAGCCCGCGGGGGCGGTGCCCGCCGGGCCTTTCCCGCGACCCGCCCCCTCGGGCGCTGCGCCGTGCGTCTGCGCAGACACCCCCGCGGCAGCCGCGGTAGGTAGTTTCTCCTGATGATGCAAACCCTCACTTCCCGCATCAACTTCCCACAGAGGGCGCGGAGCCGGCGGGAGCCAGGAGCGCCGCGGAGCCGTGCGCCATGGGCAACATCCAGAAGAAGCTGACCGGCAAGAGCGAGGGTGGCAAGCGGTCGGAGAGGGGCGCGCCGCGGCGGGGTCGGTCGCCAGGGGCCGGCGCGGACAAGCGGGGCCGACCGCGTGCTTCGGCGGCGGCGGCGGAGGGCGGCGCCAGCCGGCACCCTGGTGGCGGGCGGGGCGCGGGAGACCCCACCGCCGCGCCCCCTTCCCCCCCCGCCCCTCTCGGCCCCGCCGGCCTGAAGAGCCAGGGCAACGAGCTGTTCAGAAGCGGGCAGTTCCCCGAGGCGACCCTCAAGTACTCGGCGGCGATCGCGCAGCTGGAGCCTGCAGGTAGGCGAGCAGCTCCCGCGCCTCCCCTAGGGCTGCGGCTCACGGGACCTGCCGGGCCGCCGCCCGGTGACAGGCGCTCGCGTGCGTGCGTTCCTTCATGCGGAACAGACCCAGGGCGGGGTGGCACCGACCTGGGCGGGCAGCACCGTGGAATGCGTAGTGTGTGCGCGGGCAGGCCACTGCGGGCACGGGCAGCTCCCGGGGCGCCGCATTATGGGCGGCCTGCAGGACTGCAGTGTCCCTGGAGACCTCAGTCGTCTTGTGCTGGTGAACTGTGACTGCGCTAATGGATTTTAACCGTGTTTAATTAAATGTGATTTTAGGAAGTGGAAGCGCAGATGATCTAAGTATCTTATATTCAAATAGAGCAGCGTGTTACCTAAAAGAAGGAAACTGCAGCGGCTGCATTCAAGATTGTACCAGGTAAACTGCCCATTTTCAGGTTTCTCAAGAGAGTTTTACCATTCCAGCATGATGAATGCAGCATTTAATTGCTTACTAAATTTTTGTATGAGTCTGATTTCTTAAGACACTTTTTTAAGACATGTTAATTGAATTATACGTGAAGTCATAAATTCTTCTCTTTCACAAACTTCTAACTGATGACAGTTAACAGAAGACTGCAAACTTTTTTCATTTCTACAGCCACCACCTTAATTCACGCTCTTTTCATATCCTAGACTACTGGACAAGCCTTCCATCTAACCTCTTTGCTGCCTCCAATCCACTGTAGTGTCAGAACAACTTTTCCTGAAGCATTATTTTGTGTTTCAAATAGGCATTCAGTGGCTCAGTATGGTGTTCCAGATAATTATAGGCTCCCTTTTTACCACGTTGCCCCCTGAACAAGCTTTCTGCTCTCATTTGGTCCACTGTCTGTAATGCCCTCTGCACATCTTTGCTTCTGAAATCCCTGCTCAACTAACCCCTCCCTCTTCTTTGCCTTCCTGGTCACTTGAATGGCTATAACCCTTGCACTGTCACTCTCACACCTGTGGGTACTTGTGTCATCCACTACACTGAATATGAGCTCTGTGAGGACCAGAACCATATTTTACATACAGCTTTGCATCCTTCAAGCACTGTGGTCACCCATGTTACTCAACAAGTTACATACTGAAATTGGTGAATATATTTACATGAATAAAAAGTACTGTTTTCTTCTACTATCAAGGAATAAACCTGCTTCAGGAGCCCTTTGGAAAGAAGCTACTATTAAGTATCTAGCAAATAAATTGTATGTCCTGGTTTGATGTTCACAGTCCTGGTTTACTCTTGTGTGGTAAAATTATTACTGTCACCCTTTTTCACTCTCAAAAGTCCTAGTTTGAACAATAATTTATGTGGATAACCTTCCAAGAAGATGAACAGTTTAGGGGCGCCTGGGTGGCTCAGTCAGTTAGGCGGCCGACTTCGGCTCAGGTCACGATCTCGCGGTCCGTGAGTTCGAGCCCCTCGTGGGGCTCTGTGCTGACAGCTCAGAGCCCGGAGCCTGTTTCAGATTCTGTGTCTCCCTCTCTCTCTCTGCCCCTCCCCCGTTCATGCTCTGTCTCTCTCTGTCTCAAAGATAAATAAATGTTAAAAAAAAAAAAAAAGATGAACAGTTAATTATTTTTCATTGATAGTATCAGTATATTGATATGGGTAAAAACTTATAATATCTGTGCCTGAATTTTTTAAAAAAAGTGTTGAGGGGCTTGGATTTCTTTTTCCCAATTTTATGTATTTAAAAGTAAATACTGTATATGTTCACTTGGGCCTGACTATAGACCCCATCCACTGTTGTGCTAGCTCACACTGATTAATTGTTGTATTTTTAGAATTTTGTGAGCTGGTTGAAGTCAAATTGGTAGCTTGAAATCTACCAATTTGTTTGGCATACTAATACTGTGAAAATTGGCAAATCCCACAAATCTGGGGTTTCCTCCCTAGGAGGAGAGCCGGTTGTTCAACATTCACCACTGCCCATAACTAACCAACAAGACCATGTGAATTTGTGGAATATCAAGCACATTGTGATTTGCAGTTATGAACCTTGTAGCTCAAGTGTCTGTTGCTAATACCTTTCAGACTGGTCTTAGGTCTTCCTGCAGTAAGCAAGTTCAGGACTTTAATTAAAACTTGAGACGCCTAGGGGTGCCTGGGTGACTCAGTTAGTTAAGTGTCTGACTTTTGGCTCAGGTCATGATCTCATGGTTCGAACATCAAGTCCTGAGTTGGGCTCTGCACTGACAGCACGGAGCCTGCTTGGGCTTCTGTCCCCCTCCTCCCCAACTGACGCTGTGTGTGTGTCTTTGTCTCTCAAAAACTAAACTGTAAAAAAACAAAAACTTGAGACCCCTATAGTTAGGGCCACTGCAAAACACATGGACTCACTTTATCCTTAAGTGAGATGGTTTAAGGTGGCAGACATAAAATTTGTTGTGTTTCAGTGTCGATCTGGGAGGAAGTCAATGATGGGATTCCAGCCATGGTGTCTAGGGAGGCTAGAATGGAGGTTTGTCTTGAAGAAGAGCAGGAGATGGCCTTCTGGGGAGGGAAGTGGCAGTGGTTTATTTAAGATGTCCTTAGATAAGAGCTGTGTTGTAGGCCAAGGAATCCTGCTCTGCTGGTCAGTGCTGACCTCCGTAGAGGCCAACCTATTTCGGTGTTTTCTTGATACCTGGTTTATGAGTCCCAACATAAGGGGTATGAGATAATTTTACTCCAGAGCGGTGAGTCTCAAACTCGCTTTAATGCCAGAGAAACCATGATTGGCTTTTGCGAACATGTTGAAATCAATGTATTTAAATCTGTGTGAACTAGGAATCATTTAGTAGCAGAAATAGGACTGTATTTTCTTTTCATCTCAAGAAGATTGCATACATTTTAATGGAAGCCTATTTAGTTTTTCACTTAATTGTCTGCTCTTTGGAGAGTTGTTTTTTCTGCCATGAGCCCTTATTACAAGGCAAGTGGTAGCTGTAGTCAAACATTGAAAAAGAAAAACTCACGGGAGCAAACTTTAAAATAAGGAGCGGAGGGGATCCTATGAATTAGCTTTCGTAGATTGACCTATAATCTATACCTTTGTATGCATTTTGGGAAGAAAATGTTTGATTTTATGTGTCTGAATTCCTGGGGCCTGTTCTGAAGCACTTGCTCTAAGGTTTGTCCCGGGGTGTGCTGGGAGAATCACTACTGGGAGTGTAAGGGGTATTGGGAGAGCTCAGGGAGCTCTGGGCCCTGCCCGTCTCCTGGCCACAGTATCTCCATGTTTCTTTTAGACTTCCAGGTGAGCCAGGAAACAAGGTTATGATGCCTAAGCTGAAGTTTAAAACCATTATCCTAGAAATTACCTTTGTCGTCTGTTCTCAGGATTCTTTATCACCTAAAAAAAAGTCTTCACTTTTCCCATCTGCCAGAGAACTTTTTTGGGTTCTCTAAACTATACCAAAATATCTTTCAGTGACTTTCCATCAAGGGTATTTTGACAGGCTCAATAAAAATGAATGTTGCCTGATAATTCTTCGCTTTTGCTCCTCTGCTGCTCTCTGCCAAGCTTCAAATTAGAAGACTCTGTAGGGCCTTAAAAGTGTTAATTTGAATAGTTACGTTTTTGTAAGCTCTGGTTTAAAAATTCTCTGTGTTTTTATGAATGAATGCCTTTTTTTTTTTTCTTAGCAGAATTTCCATTTATAAGCTCGTATTCATTTTCAGGCTTGTGGTTAAAGAGAAAAAACCTTGCATTTACTAGGCTGGGAGTGCTAAAAATTAAATGCATCATCTCATGCAGTGTTACATTCCACGCCTACCTCAAATCCATCTTGAGTGGCTAAATAGCACCTTGGGCATTGGAAGTCTGTGGTGAAATGGGGTAGTTGTGGGGAAATGAGGTAGTTGTGTAAGTATTACACGTATTTACAATCCCTCTTCATGCCATTAATATCCCCGAAGCGTGAAACTAAGCTAGATTTAAGGCAGTGGTACTAGTGATAGATCCTGATGCTCAGAGATCTGTTTTCTAGTGTTTAAAAGCTTTTACTTGATCTTAATTTCTAAAATAACTTTTGGAGTGGCTCAGTCGGTTAAGCATCCGACTCAAGTCATGATCTCACGGTTTGTGAGTTCGAGCCCTGCGTTGGGCTCTGTGTAGATACCTCAGAGCCTGGAGCTTGCTTCAGATACCGTGGCTCCCTCTCTGCCCCCTCTCCCTATTGTGCTCTCTCAAAAATAAATAAATGTTAGAAGAAATTTTTTTAAGTTAAATAAAATAAAGTAACTTTTACTGTTTACAAAAGTAATATGTATGTGTTATAGAAAAAAATTTTAAAACCCAGTACAGTACGAAGGAGATCATTAAAATAACCCATAATCCTAACCCCTGGGTGGAACAAAATGTGTTATTTTTTAAAGAACTGAAGCTAATTAATGACAGCCTCTATGGTACACAGCCCGGGAGTGCACTGCAGTTGAGTATGACGTGGAGAATTGTGAAGGAGTCCCAGTGGCAGATGACTCCAGTGAAGTTCCTTTATTTATAGTGTTGTTGCACTGTTTTGTGGTAGAAAGAGCATTGGTTCAATCAGGTGTTTGCTGAAGTGCTTCCTCTGGCCCAGGCATTGATCTCCACACTGGGAATATAGTGGTGCTTAGGACAGGCAGTGTCCTTGCTTTCCTGAAGCTTAAATTCAAAAGAACTGACATGTGGGCAGATGGCCCCATGTCTCTCCATCCCCTCACCTGCAGAATGAACGTGGGACTGTTTACCCTGCCGGCTTGTGAGAATGTCTACAGTGACCAGCACACAGTAGATGTCCTGTCAGAGCTTGCTCTTTGCCAGGTCACTGTAGACAGGAATAGACAGTAGATCCCCAAGACTGCTGGAGGAAAAGTAAAGCAGCCCTCACTCGTGCTTTCCCTGCAGCTGATCTATAATAAGCTGCATGGAACAGAAGAGTTAACCAGAAGAGCAGACCTGCCGTCCCCAGTGTGGACAGTCTGGTGCAGCAGATGCTCACTCATGGGTTATATAGAAAGTGGGCTCTTCCGAGGATCTGTGCACACCATACTTTACAATTTTAGTTAAGTTTGTTAAAACTAAGTATGATAGTTTTCATTCATAAATTCAATCTTTTGATTGTATGTTCTAGTGATGTTAGAAATACTTCGTAGCCTAAAAAGTGCAAGATGAAAATTCATCATTTATAAGGAATTCTCATATACTTCCTTGATTCCCTCCAGTTTATTTTTTAAGCCCTTTGGCAGCAAGTAAATCATAATAAACTGTATGAAGTTCAGAGAGCTGATTTTCAAAATGTATTGCAAGCTTCTGTGGTTCTGTGCTAAGGTGCCTTGTTAAACACATAGGTGTAGATAAAAATTTTCCTTTTAATCCATCAGTAAGTAACAATCTTTTGAAAGCCTACTTTGTACCTGGTGCCACGGTGGGCTCTGTTAGGGCACAGGAGAGGGGAGGGGCATTGGAGGGGGTGAGACACATTGCCTGCTGCCAGGGAGCTCAGGCTCAGTGGGGGAAAGAGTAAATGCCAGAGTGCTTTGGAACTGTTTGAAATGAGGTATGCAAGTTTGATTGCTCTTCTACTCTGAGTTTGCCTTTCTAGTATGTTCCTAGGTCCCCAATATGGACTGGCAGATACGTAAAAATATTTCTGAGAGTCTGGTACCGTAGTGTACGTTCAGTTAGTATAAGTTAAAAAGTAATTTTCAGAACAAGTGACATGTAATATTTTTGTCTTTAGGGCTCTGGAACTTCATCCATTCTCCATCAAACCTCTTCTTCGACGAGCAATGGCCTATGAAACTTTAGAGCAGTATCAGAAAGCTTATGTGGATTATAAAACGGTGTTGCAAATGGACTGCACAATCCAGCTAGCGAATGACAGTATTAACAGGTAACCTAACCCGAAGCAGTGCCTGAGGTCTAGTTGTTTTACAATGGAGCTACATTTTTCTCTTCCCCACCTGCAAGAACTACCAAAGTGTAGACTGTTCTATTATTTACTTTGCATGAATAATCGCCTTCTCTCACTCCCATCAAAACCAAACAGTTCTTTCTCTATAACTTAATTTCTAACTGTCCTGCAGTACATTTTGAGTTGTCCTCTGACACCTTTGTATTTGTTTCCTGGTCCATTTATTACTGTTCAGTAATTATGGTTTTTTTTAACTTAGGGTACAGATCTTTGCTGTTCTGAGCGCACAGCATTTAATTTCAGTATTTATAAATATCTGTGGAGTTAGGAAGTGTTTTCAGTGATGTTGTAAATCAGTACTAATTATAGGACAGGATCCAAAAATGTAGTGAAAACTGCCATGTTGAATCTTCTTCTCCTACAGGGTTTGCACATGCTCATTGGCACCACATCTGTAAGTGGAAACATATCTGTTGTTTCTCCTCAGGAGAATGGATGTCTTCATGAGCCTGCTAGATATTTGTGTTATATGCCCTTTAGACACTCATCTAGGATGAGTATTAACTTACAATGGTGAAATAGCAAAGAATTTGGATCTAATTTATATTATGACCTATTTACCCCCTGAGTGAGCATGGGAAGGTAAGAATTTCCAGACTTCAAATGGCTTTCAGGTGAAATTTGAAAATTACTAGTTGGGCAATATTTCTAATTATGTATAATATTTTCTGATTCCATTTGTCCAAAGTATAATCATGTGCGTTATGCTGTGCCCCGTGTTGGTCTAGTGTACCATGTCCCCCACCCCCCCACCACCTAAAGAGACAAAATGGGGAAAAATAATATAGTCTCTGTATTTAAGCAAACCAGAATATAGTTAGATGAAAAAAACACAAGACAGGTTATCTCCAACTGTGAAAAATGGTTAGGAAGGTGGGGGTTAACAGGCCAGGCCACCTTTGTGTAGACTTCAGTTGTTGGAGAGAGAGTGCCTGAGGTGGTCTTTGAAGAGCACTGATGGGACATGAGGAGACCTTGAGCAAAATTTTAGGAAATGAGAGTGGCATGTTTTGGATTAATTCATTTTATAAAATCATGCCTTACCTTCCTACATTATTTCACCACACTTTGGAGAAAACTGTTGGAAAGATCTGTATGTAGAGCCAATGGCCATCTCCTGGAACGTTCACTCTCTGGTCACGTGGAACCTGTCTAAAAGGGATATATACTGTTTATTGGATCTAGAGTGGGGCTAGCTGGAACCTTGGGCATTCACAGACTCTTTGATCTTGATCTTGTAAAATCAGGCAGCATCACGTGGGAGCTCTCCAGCCATTTGCCCTGTGGCACAGCTGCCTTGCCAAAGTGTCATCTACTGCCACATATATGCTTGAAGGTACTTTTCTTCTTTTTTGTCTAGTTAATTCCTTCCTGTCTATCAGGAGAGGGTCTGCTTCCTCTAGGAAATGACTTTCACAGATACACCCACCTCCTGCCTCACCATACATGTATTTCAGGCTCTCTTCCCAGTGACCCCAGAACACTGTGCCTTTTATTACACAGCTTCCATATTATTTGTAAATTCTCTGTCCCTCTCTTTTTGTAAAATTATTTTTCTCTCATTCTCCTGGAAGTTCTGTGAGGTCAGGAATTGTGTTTTATCCATCTCTGTAGTTGAAGTACCTCATACAGTAAATATCCTCAGTAAAATGTGTTGAATGAAGTCATTCCCTAACAGCGTAATTCACTCCTGTGCTCTGCTTTGAATTTGCCCGTCCTCCTTTGTCTGGTCATATCCAAGGTAGTTGGGGAAAGTAGAATCCTCTCACGGTTAGAGGTTCTTGTGAAACAAAGTTGGGAAGGCCCCTGAAGTAGCTGACAGAGAGGAAAGGCCTGTTGAAAGGTATTTTAGGAAATAACAGTTCACAGTGATAGGCTGGAAGGTCTGAAGGGAGAAATCTATATCTGACAGGCTGTAATTACATTTCTGAACCTGCTGCACTATATAGTTTTTAAAAGTGAAGTACAATTCACAGAAGGGAAAACTATTTTAAAATATACGATTGAGTGGCCTTTTAGCACATTCACATGTTGTATAACCACCACCTCGCTCTAGTTCCAAAACATTTATCGTCCCAAAAGGAAATTCTGTTCCCATTAAGCAATCACTCATTTTCCCTTATCCCAGTCCCTGGAAACCACTAATCTGCTTTCTGTCTATGGACTTCCCTATTCTGGGTAGTCCCTATAAGTGGAGTCCTAGAGGAGGTGCCTTTTGTGTTTGGCTTCTTTCACCTACACAGTGTTCTCAGGGTTCATTCTTGTTGCGGTATATGTGAGTGCTTCATTTCTTCTTATAGCTGAATAATCCATCAAATGGATATATATCATTTTGTTCATTCATTCATCAGATGGTGGACATTTGGGTTGTTTGCATCTTTGAGCTGTTGTGAACGGCCTGCTTTGAACATTTTGTGCATAGGGTTTTGTTTATATACCTGTTTTTGGTTCCTCTTGGTGTATACTCAGGAGTGGAATTGCTGGGTCATATGGGAATTCTATGTTTAAACTTTTTGAGGATTGTGTTATACTTTTTATATGTCCTCATGAAGATCCTTTTACATAGATTGACTTGTAAGTTTTTTTTAATTGGTTCTTACTGATGTTTTATAAGAAGGTGAGGAGGCTTTTTTTTGCTGTATTTCTTCTATAAAATATCAATTTTTAAAATTTCACTGTTCCTTTTCGTGAATCCCATATTTATGCTTTTCCATGTGAGCAACAACAGCTTTTTTTTTTTTTTTTTTTTCCAGTTTAAACATCTGTGCTTATTTTGTTTCTGTCTTCCATTAACCATATTCCTCTCTTCCTCTCCAGGAATCTTATATGTTAAATTTCCCTGCATATACTTATTTACTCCCTGGCAACACATCATCTCTTTTCAGCTGCTTCTTCCTTCCTCTCTGCTGGTAATACAAGTTTTGCTTGAAAATTCTTTTTTCTAAAGCTTTTCTTTTTTTTTTCTGCATTTGTGGGTGGTTTTACATTATTTTTCAAAAAAAATTTTTTTTTTCACTAAAATATGTGAGAGTTGGTTAGCATAACCAATTTCAGCATAACTGAAATTTCCGTTTAAAAAACTGGGGAAAAAGTATGTGCATTGTATTTGTGTCTAGATAAATAAAAACTATTCGCACAAAAAGTACTATTGAGTTAACTAACTTGAATGCATTCTCCTAATTACCAGTAAACCTTCTCAGTCTTGGGGCACACCTTTTTTTTTTTTTAATTTTTTAAAAATGTTTGTTTATCTTTGAAAAAGAGAGGGAGAGAGACAGTGTGAGCTGGGGAGGGTCAGAGAGAGACACACACACACACAGAATCTAAAGCAGGCTCCAGGCTCTTAGGTGTCAGCACAGAGCCCGATGCGGGGCTTGAACTCACGAACTGTGAGATCATGACCTGAACTAAAGTCGGATGCCCAGCCAACTGAGCCACCCAGGTGCCCCGGGGCACACCTTTTTGAAACCAGTTTCATTTCAAATACATGATTCAATTTTGTTTTAAATCTAAATATATTTTGTGTGTTTAAAATGATGACACAGCGATAATCGGAGATGTTAATCTGAACCTTTTGATGGTCATGAGTAAATGTCAGTAATACAAGGGCCCTTGTATTAGACTCCAGTATCTTGTCCCTTCATCATTATGTGTTTGAAAACGTAGTTAATGGATAATTTTAGAGGCAAAAAAAAAAAATACAAGGTAAGAGTATCTTAGCAATATGGAAATGTTTTAAGCAAAAACAGCATTCCACATTACAGCTTGTCCTCATCACTTTCGGCAGCTAGTCTTGAACACCTGTCTTTGGTGTATGGTTTGGGCATAGAAATTCTGAAGTGCTTTTGGTTATTCTCCAGAGTAATACATTATCAATTTAACAATTACATTAAATGTTATGCAAGATGTTTCTTTTAGGCCTTCTAAATTTTGCTTTTATTTTTCACTTTTTCAAAAAAAATACAGTTTAATTGCATATACATTAAAAATATTTTTTGAACCAGTTAGAAAGGCCTTCACTTTTTTCTTCTACAAAAAGGATCTAAAGTTAACATAGTTTTTGGCAACTTTTAAAAGTCCTTGTAAAGACCATTTAAAGGTCTGTGGACAGCAGACAGCTTAAGACTGTTTTCTGCAGGGAAGTACACAAATGCAATGTTTGTAAATCTTACTCTTGATTTGAGCTTCATGGATATAAAAAACAAATGGCATGATTAATCAAGAAAATTCATTTTCTTTTTAGGATAACAAGAATTTTAATGAATCTGGATGGACCAAGCTGGCGGGAGAAGCTGTCACCCATTCCTGCTGTGCCCACTTCCACGCATTTACGAGCTTGGCAGCCTGCCACAGAGACACCCCCAGACCAAGTGGGAGACTCCTGTAGCCATTCCCAGCCTGGCATCACAGGTAGGGGAGGCCTACAATCCTTTTTGTGCGGGTTGTCTTGAGCTGTGTGTATATCTTCTCGGTAAAGCAGAAGGAGAAGGACATGAACTCAGGCATCAGACCCAGGTTTAAGTTAAGACCCTGTTCTCCCCCTAACTAGTCTTAAGTTGTTTCATGCATCCAGTGTCCTAGTGTGTATGAAAGGAGGAAATGTAACTATCTCATGGAGTTCTTGGGAATAAATGGAGATGTGCATACAAAATAATAAAGGTTAAGTTAGCATAATTATTAATAAGAAAAAGAAATAGCATTAGTTTACTACTATGCCTATATGTGGCAGGGCTAAAATAATAAGATTGGTGTGTTTGAAATAATAAAGTAAAATCCTACAATGTAAATATCTAGCAGGTATTTTCTTCTGCCTTATATCATAGTTGTTAACATATCTGCATTCCCTTAGTACCTACCTCATCACGTTGCACAGTGTTTAATAAGTGTCGACTTCACTCTTGCTTTCTGCGTAAAGCCATTGAGGCCCCATTTCTCCTGCCTGCTTAGGAACTCTGTATATCTCCTTGAGCCTCATCTTGTAGACACCCTGAGATTCCTGAGTCATGATGTTCCAGTGGCTTCTCTTAGACCCTCACCCTCTTCATTGACTAGAAAGAAGATGCAGGGAACATCTGCTGAGGCTTTAAGATTATTTATTTATTGAAATGCTTATTTATTTATTTTGAGAGAGAGGGAGAAAGAGCGTGCGCACGTGTGCCAGCAGGGGAGGGGCAGAGAGAGAGGGAGAGAGAGAATCCCAAGCAGACTTGGGGTGAGATTGTGACCTGAGCCAAAATCAAGAGTTGGAAGCCTAACTGGCTGAGCCACCCAGGTGCCCCAGGGCTTTATGATTATTTAGCAGTCCTTGGAAAATCATGGGGCTCTCTGGTTTTCTAGAGTTTGCCATTAGAGCCTCGCACAAATCATTTGGTCAGTAAAGGGTAGCTGTTTGTTAACAGAGTGAATATACTAACTGTACCGTAGATATGGGATAGCTAATTATAAGCACAAGTATAATCAGCTCTTTCTGTTCATTTTTATGTGATTATTAGAATAGATACCGAAGGTTTAAAAACACTGGGGGAGGAAAAGCTTAAGGAAAGTTTTTCAGCAAGTTATATAAGCCCTAAAACAGAGTAATACTCTGCTTATGTTTTAGGGCTTATATATGCTAGATTTATGGGGAGTGTCATTGGCCCCATTGTATGAGATCTTTTGAAACATGACACATTAGAAATACTCTGTGATTGGGATGTCTGGGTGGCTCAGTCGGCTGAGCGTCTGACTCTCGGTTTTGGCTCAGGTCGTGATCTCAGGTTTCAGCAGTTCAGGCCCCGTGTCGGGCTCTGTGCTGACGGTGCAGAGCCTGCTTGGGATTCTCTCTCTTCTTCCTTTTTCTCTGCCCCTTCCCTGTTCGTTCTGTCTCTCTTTAAATAAATAAATAAACTTAAAAAAAATTTTTTTTAATATTCTGTGATTTAAAGTAAAAGATGAGAAGTTACTACTTCATGCCATTGTGCAGGGGACAAATAAGATTATTGTTAATATTCCAAGTTTATATTACAAGTTTAGTGTGTTAAGATTTTTAGATTATAAAATTTAAAGATATTTTAAATTTTAATTTATGGATTTTTATATCAGGTGACTCCATTGGGTAATTTACACAGATTTAAAACTTTAGATATTCATACTTTATGTGTGTTAAAAAACTTTGATTGCAAGAAACAGAAAATCTATTGACAGGTTGTAAGGAATGGCTTTGGCTCATGGAACTGAAAGGGCTCAGGCAGGCCCTAAAACCAGGCACAGCTCATCAGGGCTCAAGTTCTGATGGAAAATAATAGAACTGCAGCAGTTTTAGGCTTCATGTGTGCACTTAAGAATGTCTAAAGGGAGAGAGACGCCATTGCTTTGGGTGGCATTAATTTAACAATGAGAAAATATGTTACACCTAAAACCCTAGCTTTTTTATTCTGTTCCTTTCTTGGCCCAGAATCTAATGGTAGTTACTCTAATGGGTCATGTATCCATTCCTGAGCCAGTCCCTATGATGAAGGAATGGCGTGCCTGGATTGGCTTAAGCCTGAGTTCTTGATCAGTGGAGTCAGCTTCCCCTGAACACCTGGGGTTAATAGGAGAGGGGTGATAGCTGAATGAATATCAAGGCACTCTTAGGAAGGGGAAATGGATCCTAAACAGAGAGTCAGCCATGATCACTGCATGATAACAGGTAATGGTAATAGTTGGGGCTCTCTCTTTGAAGATAACAGAAAACCCAACCCTTTATGGCTTAAGCAATAAAGGTTGTTTACTGGCTCGTACCATGGAAAAGTCCGCAAGTAATGTAGCTGCAGGGATGGTTGGATTTAGGATTCGGAGATTCTTATTTAGCTCTCTATCTTGACCTCTCTCTTGCTCTTTTCAGCCCATTTTTAGACACACAGACTCTCCCCTTGTATCATTGGATGGCAGAATAGCTCCTCCTTTCCTCCTCATTTTCCACTGGAAAGAGCCAAGAATTTTCAGAAGCTGCCACAGAAATCTTAAGTGTATCTTATTGGCTCTCATAGGCCCATCCCTGACCAATTAGATTATTGTGGCTAAAGAAATATAATGTGCTGATTAGTAAAAAAATAAAGATTACTCCAAATGGTAGGGCTAGGGTACGGTTTGCTTTACCTAAACTACAGGACAGAGGGTGGAGGAGGTGTGATCTTCCAAGGAAATGCAGGGCCAGATGTCTGCCTCAGGCATGAACAGGTTTGTTCGTTCATTTTTCATGAAATAGTTTTCCCACCAAACACTGTAGATGTTTGTATCTTCAGCAGAGGACATACCAATATGGATAAAATAATATAATTACTTATATTTTATTTTCTAATTTGAAAAAATATTGTAATAATTGTGTAATTTTTACTTACAGCCAATTTGTCTTTTTAATTTGTAATACCAAGTTTTGTTCCACATAGACTTCAGCTCTGCATGGTATGTGTGGTCAGGTTAATTTGCAATGGAATATCTACTTACAGATGTACTGAAGATTTTGTAGAGGTGCTTATATGAATCCTTCCTCTTTTTTTTTTTTTCCCCTTGGGGGGTGTCCCATAGATGAAAAAATGTTTAAAACCCTTAAAGAAGAAGGAAATCAATGTGTAAAGGACAAAAACTATAAAGATGCCCTTAGTAAATACATTGAATGCTTAAAGATTAACAACAAGGAATGTGCCATTTATACAAACAGGCAAGTTCTTTGTAACTTTATGTATTTCTTACGTTCATTTTTTTTTTTATTAAAACATACAAATTAATTGCCGAATTTTTTTCCCATCATTTTGACAATTTATATAGCATATTGTCCTAGGTGAGTATTCTTTAAAGAGATGGGGCCATAGAAGTTCCAGAGAGATGGAAAGCATGAGGCGGGCTGGGCGTCTGGTTGGTCTGCGACACAGGTTCCGCAGGCCGTCCTCGCCACCCTGACGTTGCTGCACTGTCCCGTCTTGGCCGTTTGGACCCACTGTGGCTTAGTCAGGTCTGCACATCATCCTCCGTGTAGGAGCAGGAGTCACCTCCCTTTCAAACTAGTTCTTAAGTGTCCTTTTTCTCTTGAAGTCCTAAGAGAGGGGACCAGCATCCTTCAGTGCATAGCAAGAATAGGCAGATTGTTCTGGAAAGCTGTTTAGAGGCCATCTATACCACATAATGGTAAAAGATCACTCTAGAAATCTGGTGATTGGGGAATTTTAGGAGTAAGTAGAGTCTGGGGTGATGAGGAAGAAGGCTTAGTTCCTAAAGAGCAGGGACTCCCAGCACAAGATTTCCTAGCTATTTCAGATGAATTCTTTTTAATTTAACTTCTCACTGCTTTGTTTTTGTACATGTTTTCCTCTATTGGCAACCATTTTGCTAAAAATCTTGTCATTAACTCCAACAGGTAGTTTTCTACTCTTCTTCTGTTCAGTCTCTGCGGTTCTGGGCATTAATGGCCACTCAGTTTTTCCTGGAAACCGCCTCTCCTCTTGGCATCAGTGCAGACACTCACTTGCCTGGCTCTTTTCTTCCTCTATGGGCCTTTCTTTCCCAGCCGTTCTCGGGGTTCTGAAGGTGTAGGTCCCTTTTTCAGTCTGCATGCTCTCTGAGCCATTGCATCCTCCCTTCAGTTCCATTACCTTTCAGTTGTGTCCCCCCCAAATCTCTGTGTGGGCTCCAGACCTAAGCACTCCGCTCCTCTCTGCCTTCCTGACCGATGTGTCCCTCTCCTAGTGTGTCTGCAAGCTCAGATGTCCTACTTCTAAATTCCTCTTGGGGGAGCCTTTCTCTCCGCCCTCCTCTTCACCCATGTCCCATCACCACTGTCTCCTCCGAGATGTCTGCTACCCCCTCCACAGAACAGACTTGTTCCCTCTCGTCTCATTCTCTGAATTGCAGCACGACTAATCTTCCTAAAACATGGTGAACATGTTAGCCCCTATTTGAGAACCCATTGGTGGACTTGCTGGAAGCTCAGGATAAAGCTCAGGCTCCTTGCTCTTTCCCATCTGGCCTGACCGCCCTTCTACCTCATCCCTGCACCCAGCCAGCCATATGGCACTTAGTTCATCAAGAGTACCTTGCTCTCTGTCTTTCACTGTGAGACTCTGCCGTTGCTGGGCCATTGGCCACCCTCTCCCCTCCTGCATCTTAACTCTCAGCCCAGTGCCTTCACACTGGATAATTCTCACCTCCTACTCTGGGCTTCAACTTAAATGTAACTTCTTCTGGGAAGTCTTCCCCGATTACTCTTGCCTTTGCCTCAGCCCCACCAGATCTGGTAAGATTCTCAGCTGTGTGTTCCCAGAGCATCCTGTTCAGATTTTATTATGTTTGCTTATTTTAATTGTCTCTTCCACTTAGACTATAGCCTTCTTGAGGGGCCTGAGCTGTACTTGTTTGCAGTTGTATCCCCAGTGCCATAATTATGTATATTGCAAGAAAATGCCATAATTAGAATAAAATGTTAGGCTTCAATGAGACAGCCAACAGACTTAATTGAGCTATGTTCTGATTGTTATTAACTATCTAAATTTATAGTGTTGTCTTTGCATTTCATAATACGTAATTGCTTTCATAATTACATTCTACCAGAGCTCTGTGTTACTTGAAGCTGTGCCAATTTGAAGAGGCAAAGCAGGATTGTGATCGGGCACTTGAGATAGATAACAGGAATGTAAAAGCGTGCTACAGACGAGCTCTGGCTCATAAAGGACTCAAGGTGAGGAAATCTTCATTTTAATAAGTAAATTTCAGCTCTGAAAACAATATGTGGTTTTTATGAACATGAATCTTGGGAGTGAGATTATCGTGGGATTTAATCCTGGTTCTTTGCTAACCAATCCTGAAAGCTTAGAATAGGCCTCAGATTTCCCCTACCTTTAATGTGGAGCTAGATATTTTCTAAGATTCCTTCCAGCTCAAAAATTATTATTTTATTTCCGGATTTTCCAAGGACTTTTGTTAGTTAATGATAGATCCATTTTATGGAACAGGAAGGTTTGTTACTGAATCACTGAAGGCATCCACTGGATTCCTCCACCAAAGGATTGAGGTGTCTGTGGGGTGGGAGGAAGGCATCAGAACGGAAGCTTGGTTCACCAAGTGAAAGTTGGTAGAGACATCAGAGATTGGTGATTTGGGCCTTAAACTGGCTGCTTTAGAGTGGCATTCTTCTCTAAGAAAGCCACACCATTATTTGCAAAGAAAGTATTGTATAATTACACTTTTCTTTAGGCTGATTCTTCTGCATGGAAAACTTGAATGAATGTACATATTTGTACAAAGTAATGTCACAAAGAAAAGTCAGAACATACTGGGCTATGGCATTTCTTGAAATTGTTATGTCTTAAAAATCAACTTGATTAGGGTCTAATACAATGAAATTCACACATTGTAAGCTTTCACATCTTTTAATTTTTTTCTCTTTAGAGGTTTTTTTAAATTGAGATACAACTGACAACTAACATTGTATTAGTTTCAGGTATACAGCCCAATGATTTGATTTGCACAATGATCACCAGTAAGTCTAGTTAGCAGCCCATCAGCACACATAGTTGAAATTTTTTTTCTTGTGATGAGAACTTTTAAGATCTATGCTTGTAGCAACTTTCAAATATGCAATACAATATTATTAATTGTATCACCATGCTGTGCATTATATCCAATGAGTTCTTTCTTTCTTAACTGGAAGTTTGTGCCTTTTGAGCCATTTCACCTACTCCCCAGCCCTTGTCTTGCCTCTGACAACCACCAGTTTGTTCTTTGTGTCTGTAAATTCAGTTCTGTTTTTGGTCTTGTTTTCTAAATTTCACGTACAAGTGCAGTCATAAGGTAATTGCCTTTCTCTGTCTTACCTCACTTTTAGCATATGCCCTCAGGAGCCATCCATGTTGTTGCAAATGGTGGGATTTCCTTCTTTTGTATGACTGTAAATAGACCATATTTTTTCTATCTGTTCATTCATTGATGGACACTTAGGTTGTTTCCATGTCCTGGCTGTTGTAAATATTGCTGCCGTTAACACAGGAGTGCAGAGGTCTTGCAGATTTCATGTTTCCATTTCCTTCAGATAAATACCTAGAGGTGGAATTGCTGGATCATATGGTAGTCTTATTTTAGTTTTTTGAGGAGCCTCCATACTGTTTTCTTTTTTTTCCTTTTTTTTTTTTTTTAATTTTTTTTTAACGTTTATTTATTTTTGAGACAGAGAGAGACAGAGCATGAACAGGGGAGGGGCAGAGAGAGAGGGAGACACAGAATCGGAAGCAGGCTCCAGGCTCTGAGCCATCAGCCCAGAGCCTGACGCGGGGCTCGAACTCACAGACCGCGAGATCGTGACCTGAGCTGAAGTCGGACGCTTAACCGACTGAACCACCCAGGCGCCCCCATAACTGTTTTCTATAATGGCTATATCGGTTTCCATTCCCACCCATAGCGCACGAGGGTTCCCTTTTCTCCACATCCTCACCAGCACTTGTTATCTCTTATCTTTTGGATGATTGCCGTTCTGACAAGAGTGATACCTCATTGTGCGTTTGATTTCTATCTCCCTGCTGGTTAGTGATGTGGAGCATTTTTTCATATACCTGTTGGCCACCTGTATGTCTTCTTTGGAAAAATGTCTGTTTAGTTCCTCTCCTCATTTTTTAATCAGATTATTTTTTCGATATTGAGTTCTGTGAATTGTTTGTGTACTTTGGATAACTGCTTATTAGATACAGGATTTGCAGATATTTTCTCCCACTTGGTAGTTTTCATTTTGTTGATGGTTTCCTTCACCGTGCAGAAGCTTGATGTAGTCCACTTGTTTATTGTTGCTTTTGTTACCTTTGCTTTTGGCATCAAATCCAAAACCCAAGACCAGCATCAAGGAGCTTACCACCTATGTTTTCTTCTAGTAGTTTATGGTTTCAAGTCTTATGTTCAAGTTTGGTCCATCTTTTTTTTGTTGATATTTGTATGTAGTGTAAAGACAGTGGTCCAGTTTTCTCAACAGCATTTATTGAAGACTGTCCTTTCCCCAGTGAGAATTCTTGGCCCCTTTGTCATAAATTAGTTGACCATTTATGCATGGCTTTTTATTTCTGACCTCTCTGTTCTGTCTTACTCATCTCTGTGTCTGTTTTTATGCCAATACCATACTATTTTAATTACTGTAGTTTTGTAATGTAGTTTTATTTTTTTTTATTTTTAAAATTTATTTATTTTTGAGAGAGAGAGACAGAGACAGACAGAGCATGAGCAGGGGAGGAGCAGAGAGAGAGGGAGACACAGAATCCAAACCATGCTCCAGGCTCTGAACTGTCACCACAGAGCCCGATGTGGAGCTCAAACTCGTGAACTGCGAGATCATGACCTGAGCCGAAGTTGGACGCTTAACCAACTGAGCCACGCAGGCACCTCTGTAATGTTTAAAATCAGGAAGTGTGATGCTTCCAGCTTTTTGTTCCTTTTTAAGATTGCTTTGGCTATTTGGGGTGTTATGTGGTTCATATAGTAAGTTTTAGGATTGTTTATTCTATTTCTGTGGAAAATGCCACTGGAATTATGAATAGGGATTGCGTTGAATCTATAGATTGCTTTGGGTAGGGTAAACATTTTAAAGGTATTATTTTTTCCCATCCATGAGCATGGAAAGTCTTGCCATTTATTTCTGTCTTCTTCAGTTTGTTTCATCAGTGTGTTATAGCTTTCAATGTGCAAAGCTTTCACCTTCTTGGTTAAATTTATTCCTAGGTATTTTATTCTTTTTGATGCAATTATAAGTAGAATTGTTTTCTTAATTTGGTCATTGACTTTTGAATAATGTAAATTCTCGTGTAGCCATCACTCCAGTCAAGGTAAATATTATTTACATCTCTCTAGGAAATTCCCTATGCCCATTTTTCTTTATTCCCCTTATTCTGCCCCCACTCCCAGGCAGCCATTCATCTGGTTTCTATCACTGTAGATTAGTTTTGCTTCTTCTTGACAGTAACATAAACATAGTCCTATAGAATTTACTGTTTGACTTTTTTTTTTTTTTTGCTCAGCATAGCATCTGAGAGTTAATCTGTATTATGTGAATATTAGGAATTGTTTCTTTTTTAAATTTTTAAAATGTTTTTTATTTATTTTTGAGAGAGAGAGAGAGAGAGACAGAGCGTGAGTAGGGGAGGAGCAGAGAGAGAGGGAGACACAGAATCTGACGCAGGGTCTAGACTCTGAGCCACCAGCACAGAGCCGATGTGGGGATTGAACTCATGAACCTCGAGATCATGACCTGAGCCAAAGTCCGATGCCCAAACGACTGAGCCACCCAGGCGCCCCAGGAATTGTTCCTTTTTTATTGCTATTTTTTATTACTGATTATACCACAACTTTTTTTTTTAACATATTCACCAGTTAATTACATTCAGCTGTTTCTAGTTTGGGGCTATTAATACAGCTGCTATGATTTTTCCCCGCCCACATGTTATGAACTTGTTCATGAATTGGTACAGCAAGAGACCAGCTGTGAGTAGGAGTGGGGATGGAGAGAGATGGTCAGATCATGAAAGGCCCGAGGGTCATGCTGTGGTGACTAGGCTTGATCCTGAAGGTGGTGGGGACCCCTAAAGGCTATGTGGTCAAGGAGGGCACAACGGGTCAGATTTGCCAGCAGTGTGGAAGGTGGATCACTGGGGACCCAGCACGGAGTGGGGAGATTGGTTAGAAGCTACCAGGTCAGCTGCCTGAAGGAAGGTAATGGCAGAGGGAAGAGAGAGGGCCTATTAGTTTGCCGGGGCTGCCATAACAAAGTACCCACATCACGGGTTAAACAACAGAACTTTATTTTGTTAGAGTTCTTACGGTTCTTAATCTTGAGATTAAGGCGTCAGCAGGGATGGCTCCTTCTGAGGGCTGTGAAGGAAGGATGTGTTCTAGCCCCTCTCCTGGGCTTGCGGTTGGCTGTCTTTTCCCTGTATCTTCACGTTGTCTTCTGTCTGTATATGTCTGTCTTCCACTTTCCTCTTTTTTTAAGGACACCAGTCATATTGGATAGGACCCACCCTAATGATCTCACATTAACTTGATTACTTCTTTAAAGAACCTATCCCCAGGGGTGCCTGGGTGGCTCAGTCGGTTGAGCGTACAACTCTCGATTTCGGCTCAGGTCATGGTTCCCGGGGTCATGGGATTGAGCCCTCCATCAGGCTCTGGCACTGACAGCGTAGAGTCTGCTTAGGATTCTCTCTCTCCCCCCTCTGCCTCTCCCCCGCTTACACTTGCTTGCTCGCTCTCTAAAAAATGAAAAAGAACCTGTCTTCAAATTACATTCTGAAGCATACATTCTAAAGTGCTATGGGTTAAGACTTCAGCATAGGAATTTTTAGGAGGGGAACACAATTAGCCCGTAACAGAGAGATTAACTGAAGTAACTGAAGGTCGTTTGAAGGTAAAGTCGACAGGACCTACTGAGCAGATGGACAGAGGCAGGAACAAAGGTGGTACCTCCAGGGTTACTGGCTTGGGTAGCTGAGTGGTGCAGTGCAATAATGGAGGGTATTCAGGAGGAGGGAGAGGCTTAAGTGGGGAGGGGGATAGTTAGGTTTGACGTTACTGAGTTTGAGGTAATTCTTTTAGTTCCTGCCCATCACTGACGGGGAAATTCTGTAAAACCTGGTTTTGTTGGGAGAGGGCGGTCATGTTTTTCTCCAGTGCAGCATATGAGCTGTGCTCGTTGCTCCTTGAGGAGTCAGGACTTTCTGCGTCGCACGTGCACTGAGGTTGCCGCGTGGAGGCTGTGCTGCGACCTCCAGACCATTGGAGCCACGCAGCTGCCTGCCCTCCCTGTCGCCCCTCCCAGTTTGTTACAAAGGATGCAGATGAACAGCCGGGTAAAGAGGTGTGTCGGCCCAGGTCCAGAAGGGTCCTGAGCACGGGAACTCCCGTCTCCATGGAGCTGGGGTGCGCCACCTTCCCTGCAGGTTTATGCCCCGGTGCGCACGTGACCTGACCCCCCCCCCCCCCGACCCGACTCCTGCTTTTTTTTGTTAGCAACACGCTCATTTATAAACCTCATGTATAGATTCCTTAGATGGTATGTGGCACCATGAATTAAGAGAGGCTTCTTCAAAACTCCCTCAGCTTTCTCTGAGCTTGATGAATTCAGGTACGTGAGGGTAGGTGTGTGTGATGACTCACGAGTGTATGCGTTTCCAGACTCTTAGAGCAGGTTTACTCCAGGCTGGTTGCCTGACTCTTGGAACTTGTCTTCCTGACACAATGTGAGAGGTGTACCTAACGAAAGACTTTTTATACTCCTTTGGAATGCATTCTAGAAATTGTACTCTGCAGAAAGATGATCCCAAATTTGAGTAATCCAACCCACTAGATTATGAGGCCGGCAGTTTGTTTTTCTGGTTTGATTTCCTTGCAGTTTTGTTTATATGTCCTGTAGTTTGAGTTATGTGCCAAGCGAATTTAGTTTCAGTATCTTCAAAAGCGACAACTGCTTACAAAACGCACCAGAAGTCATGCCTGGATCCACTTCCTTGGCGTGTCTGGGAGGGGCTGGCGCAGAGGCTCACGAGGAGCAGGTGCCCTGCCTATAGTTAGTAGCACGCGCACACACATGCCAGTTTTAAAAATCACGGGGCTTTCACTTAGAATTCCTTTTTCCCCAAGTTTTTGTTTAAATTTCAGTTCACCTACAACGCAATACTAGTTTCAGGTGTAGAATTTAGTGATACAGCGCTTAGTGTAACACCTGGCACTCATCACAGTAAGCGCCTAGATCCTTGATCCCCAACACCTAGTTCACCTGTACCCCCATCCACCTCCCCACTGGTGACCATCAGTTTGTTTGTTCTCCAGAGTTAAGAGTCTTCCTTGGTTTGCCTCCTCCCCCACCCCATGTTCATTTGTTCAAATTCCACATGTGAATGAAATCATATGGTATTTGTCTTAGAATTTCTTTCTTTAATCGAGTGCCGCTTACGTACGTGCTAGACTGTGGGAGCTGAGTGGTAAATAAGACATCGTGCTTGCATTAAGGAATTTGCAGCCAATTAATTGGGTATGCTAGAAGGCCAAAAATATCAAAAAGTAACATAACTCTTATTACAGTTTAAGTGCATCTATTAATATATATATTATCACAAACACATGTGATTATATATATATTTTTTAAGGCCTAATGGTATAATTAGCAACTTTGAACGTCTTCCTTTTTGCCAGAGCCATATTTTTCTCTTCGTGTATGCTCTGCTCTTCCTTCCCGCATGGCTGTTTGTCCTCAGGTCTTGTGTTCTCTGACAACTGTGTCAAAAGACGACTCCTTTGGGGCGCCTGGGTGGCTCGGTCGGTTGAAGGTCCGACTTCGGCTCAGGTCATGATCTCACAGTCTGTGAGTTCGAGCCCCACGTCGGGCTGTGGGCTGACAGCTCAGAGCCTGGAGCCTGTTTCAGATTCTGTGTCTCCCTCTCTCTCTCTCCCCCTCCCCTGTTCATGCTCTGTCTCTGTCTCAAAAATAAATAAACGTTAAAAAAAAAAATTAAAAAAAAGACACCTTCCTCCTCGTTAGTATCATCGGAAACCTTGGTTTTCTTACTTGCATTAGTGATAGTCCATACTTACTCATTTGTTTACTTTTTTATATTGTTTCCCTTCATAAGACAGAAACTTCCATAAGGGCCAGGGCCAGGCTGCGTGACCATTTTTGGGATCTGGCCCGCGGGCCCTTGTCTTCCAGTGTCTCCACTTTCCTGGCTCTTTTTCTCTTTACATTTGCTCGCCTCTGTTTTAACTCTTATCGAAGTGTATTTCCTATTTTCTTAGGTCTCCTTCAACCAGACAGATTGCTCTTTATGCATAGATTTTTCTTGAATGGGTTGAAAAACCATACATACTGACTCTGTGACTGGTGGACTTTCATTTCCAAGGCTGTAGCTCACAAATCTGTTTTCAGGCTTCTCGCTAGGATTCCACAACTGTATTCCCGTTCACTTTCTGATCATTGCTGCCTCGATCATCCCAAGAATTATCTCTCTGTGCCTCAGTTCCCTGACCTTTTAAATGGGGCAGAAGTTAGTATGTACAGGGCTGCTGTGAGAGTAAACTAATACTTTCAAAATGCTGAGAATGGTCAGAGTTAGCAGGAACTACCTCAGCTTGCCCTGCTGCCCCACTTGCTTGCCTTTCGGTATGGTTCCTAGCATGAACACTTAGGATGGAAATACGGTGTCATTTGGGTTTTCTGTAGCTGGTTCCAGCTGTACTGTTGTGACACAATGGTATGTGATTTGTTCCTAATAGTTTATAATGTACTATCGTTTGTAAACAATTTACCTTTTTTAATGAATTTGAGCAGATTTAAGTTTAGCTGTTTAAACAAATCACTTTTGCTACAGTGTCCTGCTGGACAGAAGGAGAAGGGATGTGGCATCACAGCTAGTCCTCCAGGAACGTCACGTAATCACAAGCTTAGCTTCCTGTGCCCCAGCCTCCAGAGCAGGCCGTTATTGGTAGGTCATGAATACTTAGGGAGGTTATACATCATTGCAATTCTTTGCCTCCTCACAGAATTAACTTTGGCTTAATCAGAACATTGGTGTAGTCTGTAGTTCTAGAATATGGCCTGTCACATCAGACTGATTTTGTGGCCTGTCTCAGCTGCCACATTCTGCTATGCGTTTAGATGCCTTTTCTTTGCCCTCAACCTCTCCCAGCGTATTGTCTGACTCGATGGAAGAATAAATGTCGACACTAGCCTATTTGAACAGTATACAACTTTGAAGGGTTTTATGGTACAGGATACGATGTGACAGCTGACATTTGTATCACCCTTTATGAAAGTTAAAACCGCTCGTATTACTACTTCATTTATGCTTGGTACAGCTTTGTGAAAACTCGAGTAGGAAAGCTTTTGTTATCCTTAAAGATGAGAAAACTGAAACTCAAGAGGTTAAATAAGTAGGATTTTGTTTTTTGTTTTGTTTTTTTTTTTAAGTTTATTTTGGTGGGGGTGGGAAACACAGAGGCAGAGAGACTGAATCCCAAACAGGCTCCACACTGTCAGCACAGAGCCTGACTTGGGCTCGGACTCATGAACCGTGAGATCGTGACCTGAGCCGAAATCGAGATTCGGGCGCTTAACCAACAGCCACCCAGGCGCCCCGTTCCAGTTTTTTAGGTAGGTACTAACATGAGGCTGTCCGTTCATTTCGCAGACAGCAAACGCCTCCTGTACATCCAGGACTGATGGTTGTGATACACAAGTGAACTGGAGTCTAAGAACTCCAGATTCTGTGCTCGCTTTTGTGGGTTTTAATATTTCAGTCCGAGACTGAAAGTCAGGGCCTGACTTTGTAACCTGGGCACTACAGGGAGCCCACCGCACACATTCTGCACCACTCCGCCCCTCAGTCTCACTCCTGCTTGGGTTAATCTGTGCCTCTTCTTTTGTCATAAAAATTATTTTCTCTGCCTTTCTACTTTCAGGAGTATCAGAAAAGTTTAAACGATCTCAATAAAGTTCTTCTGCTGGATTCAAGTATTATTGAGGCAAAGATGGAACTGGAAGAGGTAACCAGACTCCTTAAGGATAATGCATCATTCAACAAAGAAAAAGAGAGAAGGAAAATTGAAATTCAAGAGGTATTTGTATTTGATTAACTTTGAAAGTACTCTTTGGGGATTTCGTAGATGCTAAAATCCTATTTCTCTGAGTTCTACAAAAAAAAATTATTTTCTTTTTACTTGGATGTCCAGTAAAGGCATTTTAACCAGTTATAAAGACAAAACTTTCCTTTGCTATAATTAGCCACTGTAGATCCCAGCTTGTGTCCATCGAGGGTACTGGGAGTCTGCATTCCTGAGGTTTCTCCTTTCTCTCCCCCAGCCACCCCCACCTGGCCTATAGTTTGCATTGCTTCTGCTCCAGAAGCCTATTTGCTTCAGGGTACACCTGGAGAATCCTGACAGGACTCATTCAGTGTCAGTGGCCCTGCCAGCCATACCCCATAGGGATTTTTTTGATTGATCGAGACCTTTTTAGCACTCTGAAACAAGACTGGCCTCATCGGAGATGTTGGAGTATCCCAGAATCAAACTCCGTGTCTTGCACTCTAGCTTTTTCGTTTGGCATCCGTGAAGAATGTCAGCTCATGAATTCCTGTGTCCTTGTGGATGCAAATATCATATCCCATTTATCATACATTTTCGCTAAGAGTAAGAGGCGAATATGTGAGAGAAACTAGAAGTATTTTCCAAGGAGGGAAGAAAAAATATTTTAAGTTCATGTCTCTGTTAAATGTGAGGAAATGTTTGTCACGAAAAAGAGGTAAAGTTGTTATAGGTCTTCTTTCATAGAAAACTAAACCTCATGATCATATTTTCAGTGTCAAAAATTTTTCAAACTTAAAAACATACTTTCATGAATGGATACTTAACACTTCCTAGAAAGAGTAGGTTTTCCTATTCATTATAAAGTATACACTTTTTTCACTTAGAATTTGACTAAAATAGAGTCTACCAGTGTTTTTCAGTTCTTTCCCATTTTAATAATTTGTGCAGTGGCTGTTGTGTCACAGTATAATTTTTTTTTCCTCATGAAGGTGAACGAAGGCCATGAAGAAGAGCCTGAAAGGACCTCTGAGGAGGTGTCCAATGACTGCTTTGCCACCAGGAAGGAGGACACAACCAATGGGCCACCAGCATACTGTGAAACACTCCCAATCGCCAGGCCTACCAATGCCTATGAATTTGGTCAGGTTATAAATGCCATCAGCACGAGGAACGATAAAGAGGCCTGTGCACACATTTTAGCCGTCACTGAACCGAAAGATTTGCCAGTGTTGTTGAGTAACAAACTTGAAGGGGATACATTCCTCCTCCTCATTCAGTCTCTGAAAAATAATCTTATTGGGAAAGATCCTTCTTTGGTGTATCAGCATCTTTTCTATCTAAGTAAAGCAGAAAGGTTCAAGGTAAGTGGCAAAACAGAGATACTGATTTTTGTTTTAGGGTATCTGTAACTTTAAAATGTTCATTTTTAAATGGAGCTAATACAGTTTTTCTCCTTCTTCCAGATGATGTTGACACTAATTAGCAAGGGCCAAAAGGAGCAAATTGAACAGCTCTTTGATGACCTCTCAGACACACCAAACAAACATTATACTTTAGAAGATGTACAGGCCCTGAGAAGGAAGTATGAGCTTTAAATCAAGGCTATTGTTAGATTTCTTCCATGCATGTATGAGTTCCAGTAGTGCTAATGGGATGGTATTGTAATAGCGTTGCATGGATAAAACCTGGTTTCGAAAAGATCCTTTGGTTTGGACTGTAAAATATTTTATGTATTTTTATATAGAGAACATGTATATTCTACGATATGCTTTTATTAGTTGTAAATATTTTCCTACGTACCAGAGCTAACATCTTTATATTTAATAATAAGTATATTTGGAACTTGTTCAAGTACGTTTTAATTTATATTCTAAATTTTCTTTTAATAACTCGTTAAAAATTTGAGTTCCATTCCTTTGGGCCATAAAGGATTCCTCTTAAGTTTGATAGAAGTGTATTTCTTTAAAAGTGAAAATCATTAACAGTGATTATTATATCACCTTTATTTCCTGCTATGATATATATATAAATACTATTTTATACTACTTCTGGATTACAATCCACTAAGGTGAAATGTAACACTTAAATCTTACAATATGAAATGATTATTAAATAAATTATTAACTTAGAGCTATAAGAGAACTTCTTTTCTTACGTGGAAACATTGCCTAATAATTAAAGAACAAAATTGGCAAAAATTTCTACTACTTACTACTTTTTACTAGATTTTAAAGTGCGGTTTCCCAAACAACTGTATAAAAGCAGACTAAGCCTGCATTGTCCCCTCCACATTTTCCCCAACGTTTAGATGTTGTCTTCACCCTTTTTTCCCGCCCCCTCCCCCCAATTTATTCCCTCAATGGAAAAGTGAAGTCTTATTAAAATCTCCTTTGTTAACTGGGTCAAAGTAAAGGTATTTCTTACAATAAAACATTCAGGTCTCTATCAGTGTACTGTCATTTATTGCTATAGTTTTTATCAAGTTCTTTTTCTGGAGCCTTCTGTCTTGAGAAGTGAATATCACAGGTGAGTATCACTTTCATTATTTGCATATTCTTTAATCTTTTGGAATTAATAGAATTTTAAAAAATCATTGGGGGTAAATGGTATCTTTCAAACTGACATTTTTCTTTTTAACTCTTTGTTCATTAATGAAAAGCTGATTCTCCTTTTTTAATGTTAGTAAACTTTACAGTAGAGACATAAAAAGGAAACTCTTTTGTTGACAGTTACGTACCCAGCACCTAGCTGCACGGGGCTGTCTGGCAGTGGTCACCTCTCCTTCAGAGGAGGTGGAAAGCTGTGAGTGCCCAGCGGTGCCAGTTGTGTGGGTCATGGCTGGAGAAACCCGTTTCTGTCCAGTGACAGCCAGGGTACTGAAGTGGGAACTTCATGACTGAGGGGAGGGAAGACAAGGTGAAGGAACTGTAGATAGGAATATCAAAGAGCATTAAAAGAATGCAGTTCCTCAAGACTTCAGCAGGAAGTCTGCCCATATGCCTCTGGGAGTATCCCACTCAAAGACCTCCCCACCAGATTGCCCCACTGGGTCCACAAGCCTCCCCAAAGCCCTGAGTTAAATTCACGCCACCTCTCACTATGTGCTGGATCCCCGTGCGTGCTCCTGAGCGGGGCAGTGAGAGCAGGCCTGGTGATGAGAGTTTTGTCAGAAAAATGGACCAAGAGTCTGTGGGCAAGGGAGAAATCACACACTAGAGCTGTGGAGCTATAGCACCACCTTCTGGAAAACAAAAGGTTCCAGCAGCTATACTTGAGTTACAAGAAAAGATGGAAAAGTTTAAGAATTCTGCCACTAGAGGGAGCAAGAAGAGTGGAGCAGGTTCGCCCATTCAAAGGCTGAGGACACCTCTGACGTAGTGACACCAGTGATAGTACCTCATCTGACAGCAACCAGTGAAGACTTGGGAGGCGTCTGTTACTTCAAATGTGAAAATAGCCATGCAAACGTACAAGGAACATGAAAAAATATTTCACCCTCCAAAAGACACCAATAATTCAACGACTACACACAAAGACATAGGATGTTGCAGATCTAGCTGATAAAGAATTCAGGATAGCTGTTTTGAAGAACACGACAAGCTACAAGAAAACTCAATGGTATTAGGAAGGAAAACATGAAATCAACAGAGAAATTACAAAAAAGAACCAAATTCTGGAGTTGAAGAATTGAGTGAATGAGATGAAGACTACTGTAGCAAGCCTCTGTAGAATAGAGTAATTGGAAGACAGAATAAATGACTTAGAGAATACAAATTCTCAAATGATGCAGAAGACCAAAGGGAGAAGGGGGGCAGAAAATGTAGTTTGAAAAATAATTGAAAATTCCTCAAACCTGGGGGAAAGGACTTGAACATCCAAAGTCACAGAGCTCACATAGATCACCGTAGTATCTCAATGTGGAAACACCTCCCAGACATCATACAAGGAAACCACCAAAAATCAATCCTAAAGACGGCTGGGGGAGTGTAACTTACAAAGGAAGCCCCATTAGGCTGTCCACGTATTTCTCAGTGGCAAAACCCTAGAATGACATTCAAAGTCTCAAAAGATAAAAACTTTCAGCCAGAGTTACACTTCAGCGATGAAGGAGAAAGACTTGCCCAATAGCCAAAGCTGAAAAAATTTATCACCACTAGGTCTGCCCTGCAGAAATGCTGAGAGGAGTTCCTCAAGCTGAAATAAAAAGATGCTAATCAGTGACATAAAACCATCTTTACACTGGTAAAGGTGAAAAATACTCAAATTTAGAAAACTCTAATTCTATAAAATGGCATATTAAGCCACAACTATAGTATACCATCTTAAAGAATTAGAATTTTCTGAATTTGAGTACGTTTCACCTTTTCCTTTAGGAAAAGAGTATTAAAAATAACTTGCTGCTATAATTTGCTGACAGTACACAATATAAAAAGAAATCTGATGTCAGAAAATATATATAAGAGTAAAAGATGAATAGACCCTTTATAGACAAATGAAGATAAGTTGCTATCAGCATAAAATGGACTCTTCCATGTATGAAATGTTTTATGTAAACCTCATGTTAAAAAATTTAGATTCACAAAAGATAAAGGAGAAACCATATATACTACTGTGGAAAATCAATTTACAGAGTTGAAACAGAAGGAGAGGGGAACAGAAGGGAGGAAAGAACTGGGGAAAAGGAATGATGGAAATATAGAACAGGAAGGCAACCAGGAAGATGGCAGTTGTAAATCCCTACATATCAATAATTACTCTAAATGTAAATTGAATTCACCAATCAAAAGGCACAGAATGGCTGGATTAAAAAAAAAAAGACAACTATATGCTCTGTACAAGAGACTCACTTCAGCTTTAACACACATAGGTTTAAAGTGAAGGGATGGAAGAAAATACTACTTGCAAGTGAAAACCAAAAGAGCAGGGATTACTGTACTTGCCCTTAGACCAAACAAACTAAGCCAAGAGTGGTAAGAGACAAAGAAGGTCATTATATAATAAAGGGGGTCACTACAGTCAGATGATACAACAATTGTAAACTGTATGCACTCAACATTGGAGCGCCTAAATATATGAAGCAAATACTAACAAATCTGAATGGAGATGTGGAGAATAAAATAATAGTAGAGGACTTTAATACTTCACTTAGAGCAATGGGTAAATCATCCAGACAAAATCAACAAGGAAATGTTAGAATTAAATCATACTTTGGACCAAATGGACCTAATGGTCATATAGAACTTTCCATCCAATAGCAACAGAATATATTCTTCCCAAGTACACAAGGAACATTCTCCAGGATATATATATGATAGGACACAAAACAAGTCTTAGCAAATTTAAGAAGATTGAAATCTATCTTCTGACCACAATGGTACGCAACTACAAGTCAACAAAAGGAAAGCTGGAAAATCTGTAAATAGTGGAAACAACACAATTCTGAATGAGTGGGGTCAAAGAAGAAATTAAAAGGGAAATAAAATTTATCAACTGAAAATGGAAACAGCAAACCTGTGCAAAAGCAGTTCTGAGAGGGAAGTTTAGAATGATAAATGCATATGTTAAGAAGTTAGATCTCAAACAGCCTCACATTACACCTAAAGAGCTATAAAAAGAACAAACTGAGCTCAAAGCTAGAGGAAGGAAGGAAATAAAGATCAGAAATAAGAGACAAGAAAAAAATACAAAACAAGAACAAAACATTTTTCAAAAAGATAAATGAAATTGACAGACTATTAGCTAGACTAAGAAAAAAAAGACAAAATCAGAAATGAAAGAAGAGACATTACAGAAATACATTGGATCATAAGAGTCTACCATGAACAGTTGCATGCCAACAAATTAAGTAATTGAAGAAATGGATGAGTTCCTAGAAACACAGAATTCACCAAGACTGAATCAGAAAGAAACAAAATCTGAACAGATTAATAATAAGAGATTGAATTAGTAATCAAAAGCCTCCTAACAGAAAATTCCAGGATCAACTGGCTTCATTGGCAAACTCTACCAAACGTGAAGAAGAGTTAACAATCCTCAAACTCTTCCAAAAAATTGAAGAGGAGGGAATACTTCTAGGCCAATTCTATGAGGCCAGCATTACCCTGATATCAAAGCCAGATAAGGACCTACAAGAAAACTAAAGACCCGTATCTCTGATGACTGTAGATCTGCAAATTCTCCACAAAATATTAGCTAACCAAATTCAAGAACACATTAAAAGGATTGTATACCATGACTATGTAGGATTTATCCCTGGGATCAAGCGTGGTTCAACATGGGCAAATCAGTTTCATATACCACCATTTAATAGAATGAAAGATAGAAATCACACAGTCACCTGAACAGATGCAGGAAAAGCATTTGACAAAATATCCTTTCATTTTAAGAACTCTACAGACTGGAAACAGAAGGAACATACACAATAAAGGCCATACATGACAAGCCCACACCTAACTTGCTCAGCAGTGAGAAATCAAAAGCTTTCCTCTAAGATTAGGAACAAGACAAAGATGCCCACTCTCACCACTCCTAATACAAGTGTTGGGAACCCTAGCTAAAAGAATTAGGCAAGACAGAAATAAAAGGCATCCAAATTGGAAAGGAAGAAGCAAAAATTTTCTTGCAGTTTATGTTGTATATAGAGAAAATCCCGAAGACTCAAAAAACTATTGGAACTAATCAATAAATTTAGTCAAGTTGCAGGATGTAAAATTGACAAATCAGTTGCATTTCTGTAACCATAAGCATCTGAAAAAGAGGTAAAAACTATCCCATTCACAGTAGCATCAAAAACAAAATACCCAGACTAAATTTAACCAAGGCAGGTCTGTACAGCAAACACTACAAGACATCATTGAAAGAAATCAAACCTTACACAAATGGAAAAGGATTCCGTGCTTATGGATTTTGGAAGAATTAATATTGTTAAAACGTCCCTATTACCCAAAGCCATCTATAGATTCGATGCAATCCCTATCAAAGACCCAATGGCATTTTTCACAAACATAGAAACCAAACCAAACAATGACAAAACCCCTAAAACTTGCATGGAACCAGAAAAGAGCCCAAATTGCCAAAGCAATCATGAGAAGAACAAAGCCAGAGGCCTCACACTTCCTGATTTCAAACTATACTACAAAGCTTTAGTAATTGCAACAGCATGGTACTGGCATAAAAACAAGACACACAGACAAGTGGAAGAGAACAGAAAGCCCAGAATTAAACCACTACATATATGGTCAACTAACACTCAACAAGGCAGCCAGAATACCCGGTAAGGAAAGGATAGTATTTCAACAAATTGTGTTGGGAAAATGGTATAAACACAGAAAAGTGAAACTGGACCCCTCATCTTATACCACTCACAAAAATTAACTTGAAAAGGTCAAAGATTTAAATATAAGACCGGATACCGTAAAACTCCTAGAAAAAACAAACAACAACAA